GAGGACATTGAGAGGCACCTTACTAAACTGAAAACTTGTTCGTCCCCTGGAAAGGATGGGATTACTTCTGCCGTTATGAAGTCCTGTGCCTCAGCTCTCGCATACCCCCTGTGCGTTATATTCAACTCCTCGATTCAAAATCACATCCTTCCTTCCTGTTGGCGTACTGCATCTGTGACACCTATATACAAAAAAGGAGATAAAACATCTGCGAAAAACTACCGTCCTATCAGTCTTGTGCCTATAGCTGCGAAAATAGCCGAAAAAATCGTCCAGGAACAACTTATGACATTTGCGTTCAAGAACAACCTGCTGCCTAGCAACCAACATGGTTTTATTCCTGGTAGATCAATTATCACCAACATGTTACACTGCATTGACAATTGGACCAGATCTTTAGACGCAAATGAACCGGTCGACGTGGTTTTTCTGGATTTTTCCAGAGCTTTCGATCGAGTTCCGCATAAAAGGCTCCTGCACAAGCTTGAACATCTCGGAATCAGGGGAAATTTGTTGTTATGGATTGAAGCTTTTTTGTTAGACAGATCTTTCTCCGTCCGTGTTGGAGACGCCTATTCTTCTAGTCATCGTGTTACTAGTGGAGTTCCACAAGGATCTGTGCTAGGGCCAATACTTTTTCTTCTTTATACAAGCGACCTTCCCACCCGACTTTGTGTTCCATCTATGCAGATGATACTAAAGTCTATAACACTGTCATGAACTCATCTGTGCTTCAAGAAGACCTCAAGCTGATCAGAAAGTGGTCAGAACTCTGGCTCCTGCCTTTAAATCTATCGAAATGCTACGTTCTCCACCTGGGAAAGAATAATCCTAACTTAACATATAAGATTGGCAAACATACCTTAGAGACTGTTCTTCATCACACAGATGTTGGTCTGACAGTTAATGGCCGGCTCACCTGGTCGGAGCTCATTCAGAACATAACCTCTAAGGCAAAGCGGTTGCTATATATGATGGAAAGGTCATTTAGCGGTTGCACCGTTAGTACCTCCTCCTTTTTGTACACAACTTTCGTACGACCCCTACTGGAGTTTGCTGGTCCGGTATGGGATTCAAACCTTGTTCGCGATAGCAGCTTATTAGACGCCGTTCAGCGTCGTGCTACACGTATGCCATATGGCACACGTAGGCCAAGTTATGAAGACCGCCTCGAGCTATATAACCTGCCTGCTTTTGCTGATAGAAGAGTACGAGGAGATCTCATCATCACTTTCAGAGCACTGCATAACTTGTTTGGTGTGGACATGTCGCATCTGTTTCGTCTGGCAACGAACAGTCTCAGAGGCCATAACTTCAAATTGCAGAAGGAAGCTTTTAGAACCTCTACTCGTCAGCGCTTCATCTCAAACCGTGTCTTTGATGCATGGAACAGTCTTCCATCTTATGTAGTGAACTCGGAATCCGTCAACAGTTTCAAAAACAATTACGATAGACACCGCAGTGCTTAACATATTGTTCCCATTCTGTATATGTCTACTTCAGAAGTGCTAAGATTGTCAAATTGTTATATTTCTTTTGTCTGTACACTATTATCTATTTTTGTGTTTGAGTTTATAGTACTTGTACTCAACTCAAATTTGTTGTTTAATAATAATAATAATAATAATAATCCGATGGCAGCATTTCATGGGAAGTGCAGAGTCAACCTACTTGACGCCAATTTTTCTGATGTCTTCGATTTCCTTTAGTTTGTCCTATCAGTAGGTATAAATGAAAAGGTTCTCTACTTAGACGTACGAAAAAAATGTGCTGGGTAACTTTTTACCATGTATTCAAAAACTATGTATATGCGTATTGGTAAAACTGTTTCAGAAGTAAGTTGTTGAGCATGAAAGCAACTAACTGTAAGGGTTCCTCTATTTAAAAAAAATGCAAAATTTTTAAAATGTATTTCTTACCAAAAATTGCACAAAAGGAAATATGTGACACCACCTATTTTCACCATTTTCTAAAAATGTATGACGGCCACCCGTTGCTGCAAATTGGACATATTATAAAGTCTAATTTTAAAGGTCTTTTCATCCTCTTCAATTCTTTTGTAGACCATTTATACCAATACTTCGTAGTTAGTTTTCCGAATATATTCGATAAAGCTATTTTAAGAAATTTTGACATTTAGTAGAATAGTTATCCAGCACATTTTTTGTATCTCTGGACGGAAAACTTTTTCTTGTATCCTTGGAAATAAACTAAAATGTTTGAATATTCCCTTCTACAGCACGATCCATTTTACTTCCAATGCCACTGGGCGAGGAAGTAAAAACCATGTCACTTATTTCCATCGGTCTGTCTGTCTGTAGGTCTATCGGTATGTCGGTCTGTCGGTCTATCCGCTTAGACTATAACCGCCTGTAACTTGAAAAAAAGCTACTATTTGAAAATCGGTCCAATGGCGACGGAGAACAAGTCCAAAAACGAAAACAATAAAAATCGCTTGAACGTGTTTGTCTTGAAGTTTTAGATGCTACTAATTATTTTCAGAATTTTTTTGTAGGGGTTGACATTTGGACATTGTAGGGGGTGGGGGAGGCTATATAAAATTTTCTGGGTCCTAGTGTATTTATACGCTCCCAACCCTGGGAGTTGTATGCACCTGGTAGCCAAATTTTACACATTTACCCGTACATTTGCCTTTAATACTTAACATCGAAGCGCTCCGCCTGGCGTATATATACTGAAGCGCAAAAAACATACGGACCTTGCGCGTAACGGAATATAACTCGCTGCAGCGATGCCGCGCAGATGTGGAAAGGGACAACGTTGCTACATTCGGTAACTACCGTTAGGGTTAGGAAAGAATGTCTATGGACTGAGTGTATCGCCCCGTTTGACTGACGTAGTCCATATACCAACTCAGCATCACATATATTTTTGAAAAATCTCATGCAATCAGCGGACATACCAAGCCTGATAAACGCGATATTCAATTTTGCTATCACGTAGCAGCATGCCAGTACGAGTCTGAATGCCTCGCATGCCGCGCGATCGCATAAAAGATTATAAAGGTTGTGCTACGATTTATGCAAAGTAGTACCATGCGAGATCCACGAGCATATCAGGCATATAGAGTAGGCAGGTATCAAACACTTTATTAGCACTCGCGCGTATAAGTGCTTGCAAATAAGTAGCTTCTTGTACGATACTAGAACAGCTTTTATTGTGGCAGGAAGATTGAGTCTGTTGCATGTAGGTGTTTGAGATATATTGTTCAATTGTATACTATCAAAGACAGTGAAATACTGTTATTGCGTACAATGCACTTTTTGATATAACCAGAGTATTCTTTGTACCTCTTTTCGCTTATTAGTTTTAAATTAGAGGATTATTCTGAAAAAAACTGCATCAAGGTTAATAACAGACCGACTTTCACTGATATCAAACATGCAACGTGTACAACTCCACAAGGATGTAGGAGCAGCCTACAAGCACCAATTTCCAACCACCCTGGAAAAATTCCAAACATCAGCAGGAGTGCCTGAAACGACAAACAGCGTAGATTGAACAATTTTATATTTTTTTTGTTTTTGCGCCTCGCTTCGCCACCACTAAACTAGTTCCCGAAAACTACAAAGCTTTTTTCTGCTTACAAGTACTAACCTTTTTTTACACCGAAGCAAGCGCGGAGGCTAGATCCAAGATGCCAGGGCACCCTGGCTGCTATAAGGAGCTTAAAGAAACTTTGTTAATTAGATGTTTTAACTGCCTAATGTTGTTAAAATTGGGAAAATGCTCCTCATGTAGATTGTTCTACACTCTCGATGCCCTAGCGACAAAGGAGCGGTCGCATCGGCCAGTTCTGGATGTACGAAGTTCGATACGGTCAGAATGGAGCAGCCCTTTGTTCTAGTGGTAGAAGAGAGCTAGATCGCTGGCAGTCCGCCGGTGAGGGACTGTCCGTTAGAATAGAGTAATCGAAGCATTAAACATGGATAATCTAGTTGGGGTGACAACACCCCAAATATGTGAGGAATATTCAAGGCTTAGTCTTATCTGGGCCTTGTACAGAGTGAGGAGGTCATGTGGAGAAAAGTAATTCTCAGCCCTAAGCAAATAGCCTAACTTTTTCTCAGTAGCTACCGCTATTGACGAGATGTGTTCGTGCCACATCAAGTCCTCGGGGATCTGGACTCCGACCAATCGTAATGAACGGCTGTTAGGTAGAACTCGGCCGTCCATTGAAACCGGATGTGGTTTTGGAAGCATTAACCCGTACAAGACTGTTGCGTTCCCAGGGACCTCCAGGTGTTTCGTTAGATAGAAAGTCGCTGCTAATCTCCTTTTCTCCAGCTCACTGGCAGAGATCGTATTGTCAGAGGAACAGAAATGTTCATCAAAACCCATTCTAAAATTCATATCGGCGGATTAGCGGACAGACAGACCGACAGACTGACGGAAATGAATGACATTTTCGTTAATATATATATGTTACATAATAACAAAAAAACATAGTATACTACTTTCGAAATTTATCGCATTTACAGTAATTCCTCTCCAGTAGGCGTGAAGAATAAAAAAACTACAATACTACCAGCGGCGTGGGAAGTCAAGCTGGAAGAACAATTTTTTTAGACTAAAAATACTATATTCAGATATGCGAAAATTATAGAAGACATCACACAGTTCATTTATAAAGATGTAGACGCCTGAACATGCCCATTATCAGATAGAGCTTCAACTGATACCGTTGGCAATATATACGTATACATTTAGATTCTCAAATGTTCCTATTCAAACTATCTCAAACTATAATGCCGTTACATTTAAAACCATCTTCACAGAATTCCATTACCTTTGTAATTTGCAATATATGCCTTTCATAGAAATTTTGAAGTATTAGACTCACCAGCAAATGTAGAGTAAGGTCATTTGGACGTTGCACAGGTGTCAGACACCTTAATGAACTTATAAATATGTATTTACTGGATATACAGTTAGCAGTAGGTAGGTACATTTGAAATATAAACATTTGTTATTTACAGCTTTGATGAATAGCAAACGAGCGTACGAGAAGGTCTGTTGCTCAAGGAGCCGCTTCGAGTCAGATCCATGTCATGAAGCAGAGTCCCAGTCAAGTGATATTTTAAAACACGCGTTTTACTCCCCACGCTATTAGCGAGGAAGTACTGTAATCCCGAAATATTCAGGAAATGAGATTATATTTTCTATATAACAACATGATCACGAAAAACCATGTCATTCATTTCCGCCTATCTCTGACTGTCTGTCGGTCTGTCCACTAATTTTGGGCCCATCTAGAGCTCGGCAAGTGCCACTTAGAATTGAATAAAATTTTCACACAAGGACATAGGGCTTTTTAGATTTTGAAAATCGGTTCAGTGGTGGTGGAGCTACGGGGCAAAAAACAAAAAAAAATAAATTGCCCAACGTTTTTTTTGACGTTTCAGTGGCTCCTGATCATTTTCAGAAAAAAATTATAGATGCCTTATATTTACACGCTGCCAACCCTGGTAATTACACGCATCTATTAGACATATTTCATACATCACAGATTTCCCCATACATTTGCTCTAAAAACAGAATAATGAGCGGAATATCGGTTCCAGCGGCCCAATTCTCAATGAGTTTCTACCGTTGAAATCGAATTTTGTTGGCGCCTTGATTCGCTATGCTAATTTTGACATCAGACATCATTCAAATTATCATGCCAGACTGGGAGGGGCTCAGAGACTTCTTCTCTAGCTTTCCTTGGAGAGATGTCTGTTTCACTGACGCGGATACGTCGACTGTCTGTTCTTCAATAACCGAAATTATCCACGTCGGAATGGAGGAATACATCCCTCACACAGTGAAAGTTCCTAAACCAGGGTCCAACGGCTGGTTCAACAAATCGTGTGACACTGCTCGCCAGCAGAAGATCAAGGCCCACAGAACCTACTTACAAAACCCCACTGTAGAGAACAGACAAGCCGACGTCGAGTCCAGAAACAAATATAACGAAGCGGTTCGCAATGCCAAAACCCAGCATGATATAAAAGTTAGGCACAGGGTAATGTCGCAGCGCAATGGCAGTCGGTCTTTCTGGACGCTGGCCAAGCAGATTGAAAAGAACTTCTCACACAGTAGCCTTCCACCACTTACGTGTCAGGATGGAACTATTGTATTCGACCCAAAGGCCAAGGCGGAAGTGCTAGCCAAGATCTTTGCTGCCAACTCCACCATGGACGTCCCCACCAACGCCCAAGTGCCGTCAATTCAAAGGGTTCCCCACACTATGCGGGAGGTAACATTCAGGCATAAGACCGTAAGACGAGTGCTCTTGTCGCTCGACATCAACAAAGCTTCTGGTCCGGACTTGATTCCTGCCATTGTACTGAAGAGATGTGCAGCTGAGCTTGCTCCAGTTCTTTCGCGTCTCTTCCAGATATCTTATGAATCCGGCACCTTCCCAGAAAACTGGAAATTTGCTCATATACAGCCCATCCCAAAGGATCTAAAACCGACCCTTACAACTACAGGCCTATAGCTCTGCTTTCTGTTATCAGTAAAGTGATGGAGAGGTGCATAAATCGCGAGCTTCTGGACTACCTCGAACGTCACAGCTTGATTAGCGACAGGCAGTACGGTTTCCGGCACCAACGATCCACAGGGGACCTCCTAGCTTACGTCACGCAACTGTGGAGTAAACTCATCCAGTCTCATGGTGAGGCTCATGTCGTTGCTCTTGACATCACGAAAGCGTTCGATCAGCTGTGGCACGCTGCCCTCTTGAGCAAACTTCCATCCTACGGCCTCCCAGAAAAGCTTTGCAGATGGGTGGCTGACTTTATCTCTGGCCGCAAGATATCCGTCGTAATTGACGGATTCTCCTCTTCATCTCACAACGTCAACGCGGGTGTTCCCCAGGGATCGGTCTTGGCTCCAACACTGTTTCTCTTACATATCAACGACCTCCTTTCCTGCACGATCAACCCAATCCACAGCTTCGCTGATGACAGCACTCTACATGCAGGAATTCAGAGTGACAAGCCGATCTCTGCCGCTGAGCTGGAAAAAAGAAGACTAGCGACGACTTCTTCTCTGACAAGAGACCTGGAGGCTATCACTGCTTGGGGACGCAACAATCTTGTACAGTTCAATGCTTCCAAAACACAGTACTGTACTTTGACGAACAAAAAGCGTCCTAGCGCTCATACAGTTTCGATGGACGGTCGAGTTCTACCAAAGAGCCATTCATTTCGGCTGGTCGGAGTCCAGATCACCGAGGACCTGATCTGGCACGAACACATCTCTTCAATAGCTGCAGCTGCTGGGAAAAAGCTAGGCTATTTGTTTAGGGCTAAGAAGTACTTTTCTCCGCATGACCTTCTCACTCTATACAAGGCCCAGATAAGGCCTAGCCTCGAGTATTGCTCACACATTTGGGGTGCTGCCGCCCCGACTACATTGTCCATGCTCGATGCTGTCCAGAGGAGGGCGGTCCGACTGATCGATGACTCTTCTCTAACAGACAGCCTCGGGACTCTTTCGCACCGGCGGGCCGTCGGCGATCTAGCTCTTTTCTATCGCTACACCAACGGGCTTTGCTCCTCAGAGCTCTCTTCCATGATGCCGCCGCGCGATGTGCCTGCCAGACAGACCCGCCTGACTTCGGCGTCCCATCCTAACCGTGTCAAACTTCGTACATCCAGAACTGGCCGATACGACCGCTCCTTTGTCCCGAGGGTGTCTAGATTGTGGAACAAACTACGGGAGGAAGCTTTTCCCAGTTCTACTAACCTTAGGCAGTTCAAAAATCGTATTAACAAAATTTCTTTGGGATCATCATAGCAGCCGCGGTGTTCCGGCATTTAGGCTTCTGCCTGCGCGGCTGTTTCGATATAAAAAAAAAAAAAAAAAAAAAAAAAAAGAGTCAGTATTATCATAGCGAATCAAGTATATCGTCACAAGGCGCCATCGACATCAATTTCAACGATAGAATGAATGAATCTTAAAATTTAGAGGCATCCCGGCCACCATAAGGAGCCAGTGCATAGGCCACTTAAGCGGGCCCTTATGCACCTCTACAATCCTTAAATCACAAGCCTCGCCCTTTTAGCGAAGTTGAGAATCGCCTTGAGTCCAAGCTCCTTGACGTCCTGAGGGTCCAAAGTAATGGACCCCAGTATAGTCTGCCTATAGTAGCTCAGAGCTTCACAGCGACACAAAACGTGCGCCGAGGTCCCTTCCTCTACTTCGCAGCGTTCGCACAAGGGATCCTCAGCCACCCCATCACGTGCAGGTGACGCCTTAACGTGTTATGGCCAGACAACAGTCCCACCAGCAACCTTAGGTTGGCTCTATCCAGAGATAGGCAGAAGCGTCCATCCTTAGCACTGGGCCCTTCAATGAGCTCTCGTGCCTGGCGGAGATGTCTAGAGATACTTCTCCATTTCTGAGAGTGTTGTCTTGCAACCCACGTCTCCATTTTCGTCTTAGATTTATGCGCGGTCACTCCTAGAGCTGGCTCAGGACCAACGAGCTTACTGGCTGATCCTGTTGTCGCCAGAGTGTCTGCCGTCTCATTGCCCCTTATCCCAGCCTGCCCCGGTACCCATATTAACGATACCGGATGCCTCGCTGCGAGGCAATCCAGAGCCTCCCTGCATTGCAATACAAGACTCGAAGTAATCTTACAGGCACTTAGTGCTTTCATTGCAGCCTGGATGTCGGATAAGATTGTTATTCTTCTCCTAGGCCCACCCTCCTCCAGAATGTGAGATACACAAGCCAGAATCGCAAAGATTTCCGCCTGGAAAATGGTGGTGTATCCACCGAGAGGCAGAGATAGTCTAGTTCTAGGCCCAGAGACCCCAGCACCTGAGCCCTCTTCGGTGACCGAGCCGTCCGTGTACCAGACCTGCCCGCTCACTTCGGAGAGTCCCCGGCTACCGGCGTCCCACTCCTCCCTCGTTGCGATTGAAGCGATATTTAGGGGTAACACGATCACCCCTGCTTAGAAGGACGGGGTCCTCCCTTTCTAATTCGACTAAGATGGCAGTATGCCCCTTGACAGGATTCAAGAAAGCCCAGCTGCCCTGACTCCACAGTCGATGAGCGACTACTCTCGCTTCACCGCGGATCACCAGATCCAAGGGCGGGAGATCCAACAGAGCTTCCATTGCACTCAATGGCATTGTTCGCACTGCGCTTGTAAAGCTAATACAGGCCAAACGCTGAATTTTATTGAGTTTGGCCTTAGTTGTCTCAGTTCTAATGCAAGGCCACCAGACCAGGGAGCCGTACAAGCGAGATGGACGTACTATGGTCGTGTAGAGCCAGTATACCACTTTGGGTTTAAGCCCCCACCTTACCCCGACAACACGTCTACAAGCCCACATTGAATTGCGAGCCTTACTAACCTTGTATTCCACATTTCAACGGTTGGAATGCATTAAGAATCCTGCGAAAGTACGGTCTCTTTCCGGTGGCTGTCGTCTAACTGCCGGGCTGCAGCTCTTCAATCATTTTGCATCAAATTGAGTTTTCAAAACAAAGGTTTTTCGAAGAGAGAAAGTGATAAGAAAACAAGTAATAACCCGCTTCATTCTTCACTAAAAGTCAATTTTTTTACAAAAAAGAAACTGATAAGGTTGTTTTGCAGTCATATCTGTTAACACCATGAATCGATCAGATAAAAAGTAACTCCTCCAGACAGGCTGTTAAAAAAAGGACATGCGATTTTAAGCGACATATTGACTATGACCTTAGAGCTCGCTTCAAGGTAAAGATAGTTCTCTTTGATGCAAACTCCTCCGGGGATAAGAAGAGCAAGAAACTTCAAGTTCATGTAAGTCCGTGACCTTGACTGTAACCGTCAACGTCACTTTAAGATCAAATGAATTTTTAGTGGGAAACATCTATTTTTAAGTCCTGAAATGCAAATTGCAGACACTTTTAAGTCTGAGTAGTTTCAATGAACCTGACTATGACCTTTAGGGTCATTTTAAGATCGAATAAATGCCCAAGTAAACCCTTAACACTTTGTAGATGATATAAAAAAGCGAAACATCG